GTTAGAATGGTGTGTTTAAAAATCAATATTTAGATACAACAATTTCAAATAGATATTCGTACACGTAAGTTGATATTATACATACAGATACCTACCAAAAAATATTACTTTTTGCAAGCTTGTATATATGTATACATAATGTAGATACGTATTAGAGACTTAGAACAAGCTGGGAACGTTCAATCGTGCATCCCACTTGAACTTGTACTAAAAGTAGTGAAAGATCGCTATTTGTCCCGCTCGCACCGTTCCTACTGTATAAAAGACAGGCAAACTATCAACGCAGACAGTTCCTAGTTCTAACTGGACTAAAAAGAACGATGAGCTATTAAAACCGTGCAAGACGAACTAGTTCATGTCGGTCAGTGTAACTAATATATTCCTAATAATTCGTAGGTCATGAACTATACAAGCCTGCTGCGACGGTGACGACTCCTTTTTTTCTCCCAAAAACAGTCGTCGTATTAGGCTCAACTCACACTGGCGCAGAGTCGAAGCGTCGCGTCGCGTCTTGTTTTTCAACTTGGCTTGGCGACACGCGTCGTCGCGCGACGACGCTCGCTGTAGTGCGCCCGGATCACAGTGTGGTCGGCGTCTGACGCTTCACTGCGCTCAAGTGACGCGCGAAGCCGCTCGACTGCATCCAAGCGTCGACGCCCGTTTGCATATTTGCATAACATAAATTTGTACCTTAATAATGGTAAAATAGAGATGAATATACTATAGGCGAAAAACGTGACGCGTCGCGACACTTCGACTCTGTGCCAGTGTGAGTTAGCCTTACTCTACTCTTTGCTGCCGTCTGTCAAAGGCTACGAATGCACGATTTTTTGCTTTGAATTGATTTTGGGGATCGAATGGATCATGTTATGCCTCTGAATCGATCCACGTATCGGTTCATTGAACTGATCTCATAAAAATCGTTTCAAAATTTGTATTTGTAATAAATAATTTAATATTTTCTATAGGTATTATATGATTTAATTACCATAATAATATTTCAATCTTTTTTTTATTATTTCACAGATGCCAATCCTTTACATCTTTAAAAAAATAATATCATACAACTTAAAATTCAAAGCCTTGTTATCTTTATTTTCCATTTTTGTATGTACGGACAACAGGTCATCAGACTACACATTTTTGTTCGAAAATCGCCTCCAGTGCAACGGAACAATATACGTCAAGGTGTAACTTGATGTGCTGTTGACCACTTGAAGAAATCAAATGGTGTCTCTATATTATATGATTAGCAAGTTCGTGGTATTGTCGTTTTTGCGGTAGGTAGGTACATGTGCACATTTTGCATTTTCTTTATCAATTTTTACAAAATTGAACCACACACTGGATTTAATCGGTGGAGTCTTAGGTAAAATCATTAAGTAATTAATAGATTCAGGCTTTACTTTGCGGAAGTCCATGTTAATAAAAATGGAAGTAAATTTATTTGCCAACCCAGTGAAGGTATGAAAAAATATTCAACACAAGCGCAGCTATTTTGCACGATTTAACCTTCACTGGGTTCGCAGAGTAGCAAATTAATTTACTTCCATTTTTAGTAAAATCATTACTCAAACGACTAAGCACGATGAAATATTAAATGAAATACAGCTATGAAGAAAAACTGATGATGAATAGATGATTCATTATTTGCTTAGTACCACTTATTAAACAATGCAGGTAAGCTAAATAGTGTCCGCATTTGTCTGTAATAGATTATAAATTTATTGAATGTAAACAAATTTATCAATACCAATTTCTTGACTACCATAGCATACCATCTAGACGATTCGATTCGCCTTAATATTGAAACGAATCTATACTAAAAATAGCTATAATATTTTATAGCTGGTATTAACTTGAATCGATCTTCATAAAAATCGAATCGTAACGTGCAAGTACATCCCTAGTCGCTGACCAATTTTACCAAAATGGCGATAATTTTTTCCGTTTGAAGTTTGAATGTGTTTATTTATTTCAGTGTGTAAATAAATGAATTCGTAATTTAATAAACTATTAAAGAATATTTTGATATTATGCGGCGAACTTATAGATCTAAAAAGGATACTGGCGGCGGCTTGGATCATCGAGATGTGTTACATACTATGGATGAGAAAAGTTCCGTTTTTGATGCATATTACATACAAAATATTAAGCAAACCAAGCGGGAGTTATCTTCAGTGGGATCCTGGAATCAGTATAATGTCGCTCCGAATAGAGTAAGGAAGAGAAAATACGTAAAAAGGATAGTAAAAGAGGCGACACCTCCGCCTAAAGAATCGTTTTCAGAGTCAATATTTTTGACACCTCATAAATCTTTCCACGTTAAAAAGGCACCTGATTTGTTTGACTTATTGCTAGAGTCATCTCCTGCTTGCAAAGTAGAATCTAAACAGCCTAAGGAAAAGAATCTTTTCGATAATCTTGCGAAGTAAGTATTATTCTTCTAATTGTTTAGTTTGAATTGATCTTTACGTATATGTTACAAATATTACAAGATAAATGTTTTATCTATAATTAAGGTGCGTACATATTTGTTAGACTTAACTGTACTTTTACTAAAATAATTAATAAGTAATATAAACAAATAAGAAGTAAAAACATGAACCTAATTTGCGGTAACATCGAACCAAGGTAACCCTCGTATAAAATACGAATTAAATTTCGAATTAAATTTTCAGGGAAAGTAAGTCATACACAAGGAAGAAAGCACCAAAAAAGAAAATTAACTATTCCAGCAGTTACAATTTTGGTATGTATTTTACTATATTTTTGTTATAAGCAATTATTCAAGTTTTTGATCCACCTTTGAATGTTATAAATCTATATTTTCAGACTCTGACAATGAGAATACAACAAATAATAATGACACATCACAAAATGCAACAGACATTGGAGCACATGAGCTTATTATTGAAAGTGCCGCAAACCCAAGTCCCAAATATGACAATTCAATCAACAAAATAATCCAAAATTTATCACTATTGAGCAATTTACATCAGAAATATTCACATGGATCTGTGAAAAAAATGTATAAAAATCGATTGACAAAGAATTTCAATTCACCTTTACTGAAAACATCACCTTTGAGTAGTACACCTTTCGCTGATAAGACGAGAAGTAAATCTATCTACAAATTCTCCCCAATACATATGGCAGATCTAGAAGATAGTCCAAATTATGTTACAGTTATGGAGGACCATGAACCAAATCATAATACCGAATTTATGCCCAAAACAATTGACAATGAATCTAAATCAATAGGAAGTGTTGGTTCACCTAAAACAAATTTTTTACCTGATGATGTATGTGAGGTTAAAAGACTTAGCAATCCTTTATTTTCGTCTAAAGATACTAATTCTAAAAGCTCAGTTGATAAGAGCAGTCCACATTATGTACTGAATAATGAATCTAGAACTAACAAGATTCAGGTACAACTAGAAACTAGTGAAATTGAACCATTTTTAGGATACTCAGAAAGTACTATTACTAAAGCAGCTGCTGAAATAATTACAGAAGTGAAAAATGATTCCTTAATTCTACCAAGTGTAAAACTGTCAAAAGGCAAGCAGAAATCAAAAGATTGCTCAAGTGTTGGTAAACATCTAAGTTCTCAAGATATACATCATGTTTCTAATGATGAAAATAATCTTTCAATACAGTTTTCCATGCCAATTCAGCCTTTCCTAGGCTTTTCTGAAGTCGATGTAGACAATAACATTAGTTCCGATTCTCAGTCTAATGATAGTCAAGAAAATTACCAATGTTTAAAAGATGAAAATAATGCAAGTTACATTGAAGAAAACACTAATTGGAACAAGAAAGATTTGGACAAGAATAGTGAACAGGATACAGAAAGCGAAGAAAGTTTATCTATAAGTCTTCCAGATGATAGTAAAATTGGTCACTCTCCAATAGACTCCCACAGTTTTGAAAGAGAATCTTTATACAATACCTGTAACAGTGAACAAAGTTTTAAAGAAGACATTAATGAAGTTATCAAAGATTCTGTAATAATACTTGAGAGAATGAATTCATCATTATTTCATAAATATTATGCTAAAATGCCTGAATATGCATCTAATTTAAATGATAAAAGCGACAATAGTAAGTCAAGTAAAGATTTTGTTAGTTTTCAAGATAGTGAAGAAGAGTCAGATTGCTTACAATCAGAGACTAATGTATTTGAAGAAGATGGTGATGTAGACATTAAAGGGGATATAGAGCAATCCGTTTATGGTCTAAGTGAAACTACTCGTAATTCAGAAGAAAATGAAGCCATTCAAGAAGAACTGGAAGAGTGTAGAAGTTTTGTAACTACTAGAAGAAGAAATGAACGGACTAACAATTCTTCAATATTTGTACTAAATGGCTCCTTGGACAGTAACAGCAGTGCTGAATTCGATAAGACTGTACTTAGTAATAATAAAATATATTTAGAAAATAATGATTCAGGTATAAATGTTAATAACAAAAAGACTGAATGTGTTGAAGGAAAGGAATGTATTGATGTAAAGGACACAATGTTAGACAACACTTTAAATCAGATTGACAATGAAAAATATAAGAAAACAGATGCTAATGTTACAGCTAGGAGCATTGTTGAAATATCTGGGGACATAAATATGCATGAAAATATGGATAGATTTAATGATTGTGCATCAGAAATAAGACCAAATATAGTCTTACAACCTGGCAAAAAATGGGAAAGATCACTCAGTATTTATAGAAGAATGACTATGAATGATCCTGTAAATCATTCTTTACTAGATGAAGAGGATCTACATTCAAAAGGAAGAAAGTACAGGCAAAGTGTTATTCACACTATGGATATGCAGGACAAAGGTTACCTTCTCTTTTTAGTTTAACTATCTCAGATATGCAAACTTTTTCGATGATAATAATAATGTCTTCAAAGGATATAAATTTGAAAGACTTTTGTGACTGGTTAAAAATACTTAACTGATTACAACAAAAAAAATAATTCCAAATTCAAGTCCAATTTGTCACCTCCATCCAAAGTTTCTGTGTAATGTCAGGTTTGTAATTCGATTTGCGTGACTATCGATAAAAATGCTGTTTTCTAAGAAAATTTCGTTTCAGGTACACTACATAATGAATCAATTCATAGTCGCAGAAGTACATTCGTGTGTAAACCGAGCAAATCAACTATTCGGATTGTAAAAGTAAGTAATTGTGTCATTTGCACATTTTTCATTTTGGTTTTTATTCTTTAATTAAAAACCTGAATTTTCCTTTCAGGAAACTAATAGTTCCAGAATAAGCCTAAGTAGTACAACTGTACTTGAGGATTTGAAAGGTAAGTTTTCACAACATTTTCTTGTACCTTTGATGCGGTAGAAAATATATTTTGACTTGGCAATACCGTAGAGTATAATCTGTGGCCGTATATAGAGTTGGATTACACTTTTGCCATACCTATGTTCGATACCTGCTATTTTCTTTGTCTTTGTTTTGACGAGTATGGATTATATACGCATAATTCTGTAGTTGTAGTTTTATTACTAACATAGGTTATTAATTATGATTACTAATATTTAATAAGCTGTGTGCATAATTTCCTATAGTTGTTTTATTTTTGCAATGCCATGTCAACGGCCACTAATTTACGTGTTATGACGCCATCACTCAAATCGTCGTAGATATCCCGTGCATAGGACTCTGTGGGTCCGCTGTACTTTTTGATACGAAGTTTAATCTGGATGGACGGCAGCAATTGGTCGCCTTTGCAGTCTACATTACCGTGTAAAAAATACAATTTCCAAAATATGCCATTTTTTAAACTGGTGTTTTTCTTATTACACATTCTTATTTTGTTATGGATACAGTGAACAATTAATATTATATTTCTTAGCATTTTCAAGATTTTTAAACAAACAAAGTATGCAATATCGTGTAAACACATACAAAAAACTCGTTTCTCTATACTAGTACAAAACACATTTGTTGAAAATAAAATGTGTTGACACAGTACCGCGCGGCATCGGCATGGACTGCCCTGCTCGAAGCAATACTTTTACGAGTCACGTAAATGACGATGCCCATTTTCCTATGTCCAGACATCATGATCTGTCCGTGTTGACGGTCGACGTGGTTAATATAGGAATAAATGTATCTCACACAGTTTCCTCATTACACTTTAGTAATAAACGAGTAACTTCAGTAACTAATACATTATATCAGTGACTGATTTGTACACTGCTACTATTACTAATGTACCGTTACTTTAGTCGGCATCACAAAGCGCATCTCTAAATTCGCGGAAGAAGACGCAAGACGCTGTCGTTTGGTCATTGTCCATAATTTTATTTTTATTTTATAAATTAATTGAGCGTTGAAACGTGTAGTGGTGAATTATAAACGTTATTATTCACTAATAATAACGAGACATAAGAAACTTTAGTGTTTATTTGTGTTTTTTGATTGATTTGACTGCCATTATCCCTAACGGGATAATAGCTTGGTTCTGCGTCTTTGTTCAGTGAAAAGTGTCTAAAGCTAAGTGCATGCATCTTTCCCCGCAATACCCAGGTTAGTTTTATATTTGAGAGGGCTTGTTTAAGATGTATTCTACTGTACAATTCGAAATTTAAAGCACGTAACATGATGCGTAATCATTAAGACAGGGGAAAGTCCATTCACTAAAGAACTTCCTCGTATGTGTCATACCCCGCCTTGATGTCGTACAGGTATATTGACGCGTTGTATTTTCCAGGATTTCTTGAGGACTGTGATGATACGATTGTCGAGTTATCGAAGCTCTCGATCACAGACGGCGAGGTTACTGTGTTAGAGAAATTCCATGAGGCCACGCGCGTTGCCACTGCCCGAGATTACGTGCTGCGACGCTGCAATCAAACAAACGCTATATTGTTTGATGAATGCTATCCAGATACGTAAGTACCACTACATTTCAGTTCAATATCTGTATAGAGCATGTCATTGTTGATATGACCTTGTATTGAAAAAACTGTCTTTAAGTAGGTCGGGTAGACAAGTTCGCTTTATTACCACAGTAATGTAATTCTGCAAATTAGTCATCATCTTAATTTTCATGCTGCATTGTTTTAGATCTACCCTTATAAATTTAATTTTTGTACAATACCTTTTGTAATGTGGCATACCTTCTTATATAAATAATAAAAATAACCTTCATTAACAGAGATTGGAATATGCAGAGATATTTACCTAAGCTTTAAGTAATTCACAGATGCGATAATACCTCCCTCTTAAATCCCACAATGGTTAAAAATAAAAGACAAAAACAAAATATTTGTATTTAAAAAAGACAAAGAAAAATATGATTGTAAATTGTTAGTGGCACATGAAAAATGTAGACGAAATACAGCACCTATAATAATTCTAATATTTCAGAGGGAGGTCTTTACACTGTGTATTACCTCTTGGAAGTTTAGGTAAATATATAATTATTCTGAAGAACTAAAATTAATGCAAAGTGCTTAGTAATGCATATTATTATCATTGGTTGTTACAATTGAGGACCATCAGAACAAAAACTGATAAGTCACATTTTGACTTGTTCTTGTTTTATTAATGCCAAATGGTAGTTTTTGTTCATTTCTATCAACATCAATTATAATCCACTTTAAAAATACAGTGCAAAAGCATGGATCCGAACACAGTGCGACGACAAATCCTATCATTGATACTAGACGAAATTAAAATTTATATATAGGTATTGGTTACCCCTCAAGGAAGAGTGGCATAAGTGGGGTTACGTCAAACACGAAGCAATAAACATCTTCCATGAGGGGTGCAATTTAATTATGAGTCTCCATTTCTGTAATTTAGTGGCCAAATTAAATCTGCGTAAATCTTGTGTGAATATTAATTAGTGTGATTTATGTGAATCTCGTTATCAGTCTCCAGACAACGTAAATGAATGCTTTCTGTGCAAAAATGAAAGTTGTAGCCATTGCAATAACAAAGTAGTAACATTGAATCCCTCTCCTGTGAAATATGGTTTGGTGCAGATACTCGCTTTTTACCAACATACAGATCAGTGAATCTGCACTATCCCCTACAATATGTAGTTTTTTTCAATATTAAAAGTTGTATACCTAAAAGAAACTATTTCTCATCTAGTATTAGTAAGAACTATAAATATACAACTATACTTACAGTACTCAAGCAAACTTGGCAAATATTCAAGAGCAGGTGGTGTTAGGTGTAGATATGTAGAAAAATGCACTGGCATTTATAGAGGTGTCAAGTTCAATGGCTTGTGACCTTTAGGCATTGTAGTGATGTGAAGCTAAAGGTGACCTCTTTTATTCTTGCTTTTTAAATATGCTGGCATTTTAATATGGTTTCTATGTAGTTTTTGGGCATTTTCCCCAAGTACAAAATTCGTATAAATAAAGATTAAGTTCTTGGTTCTTTTTGTTGTGTATTCTACAATTTTACATACACACTATCATCACACCAGTTTCCCACTCTAGTAGGCAGAGACTGAATCTGCACTTGCTATGCTCTTGACAAATCTCTTATGCTCCTCCACTTGCATATTTCTTCATACAGGTCTGTTTATTCTTAATACATTTTACCATTTTAATTACTTAAATGATGAACTAGCCTATATCGGCTGTTCAGATACTTATCCATTTCTCTGATGTGCTTAATACTGCCTCAGTTACTCTGTCCATTTAAATTTCTTGCACATTCACAGTTATACTATATTTTCAATTGATTGTATGCTCTGTACAGTGCGTACATTAGAACTTAGACATATTATTTGATTAACATATTATGCGCACTGTGTGACTCTTTGGGCTGTTTAATATTGCAAAGATTTTCTCTGTGAACAAAAGTTGAAAACGAACTTATTAGTGGAGAATTGAGTGAAAACAAGTAAAATTAGTGAAGAGAGTCCTGATCATTTAATTTTTTTTATGATATCATAAACCTGGTGGTAAGTGACATGCCGACTTATGATAGTTGTAGTGCCATTCAGAGATATAATCGCAAGTATCAAATGGCCAGGAATGATTTTAATGGCATAGATCTGAGAGGCACGTGCCTGTCTCCCTGAAACATAACATTGATAAGTCCTATGTGCCGGAAATTTCACCAGCACCCTTAAAATAAAGGCTCTTATTACCCTATATAACCTAGACCCTATATTAAGTGCATATTGGCTGAGATATTACTTAGATCCCGATACATCTCAACCTCTCATGTGTTAATAGACTATAAACAAGGGCGTTTTGGATGACACCATCTCACCTGATTTAATTGATGATGATTTAATGATCTTGAGTTGTAATTAATTGCTGAATGATGTTTATTAATGAGCAGAAACTTTGACAACTCTCAACTGATGCATGTCAATAAGTCATTGTCACTAAAGCAAAATGAGCCTAAGTCTTTCTTTCTGCTATTGTAATAAAGATTATAATGTTTTAGGCCTTAAAATTGAATGTCGTTATACAGGGTATTAAAGAACTGCCACAAGATCGGCGAAGGCCTGTACGGAGAAGTGTTTCTGTGGCGGGCGCCCGATGGACGCGCGCGTGTGATGAAGATAGTGCCTATAGCCGGCACCACCCGCGTCAATGGGGAGCAACAGAAGGACTTCCACGAGATCATTTCTGAAATTGTGATTGCTATGTGAGTCTAAACATCTTTACAGTTCTATTTGTTTTTATGTGTCATTTGTATTATCAAGAAACCTTTAGGGCGCGTTTATTCGACATGAATTTCATCGCGCTCACGCCGGAGACTGCGTGGCCGCCGTGCAACGACCGCGTGCATCTAACTGTCATGGCAAAATACGCTCTATTTATTTAGCTATCGTTTTTCTATCGTAAACTAAGGTAAACGATTCTTTTATAGGGAACTGTATACATTTTTACAATAAGATTCCGGAGAATATATTAAGATTATCATTTCTTAAGTTTAAAACTTAGATTAAAAGTATTTTAATTGAAAAGTCATATTACAAAATTGAAGAGTATGTGTTAGATAAAGAATATGGGAAGACAACAAGAGTCTAGATTCCATAGAATTATGATTCAAAGTCATTTAAGTTTATTTGAAAAGAGCAATCCCTACAGTTTCTTGCTCGTTCTTCTCAGGGAGGTCAGCGTAAAAAATACGTTTCCAAATGTAAAAATTTTACCTATGGAATAAATGATTATTTGACTTTGACTAGCTTTTACGTTTTAACTTAAATGAGGGTCCCGGGCGTGCGGACGAGCCTGGTTTGTCTTTGGTCTACGCGGCGACCGCGCAGTTGTGTTATTCCAAGGAATTGAAATGTTGTTGCCTAGTACATAGAATTCAGATTCGCCATGAATGTACGTGAAAGCTTGGTAACTGGGCGGTCGACGCGCGGCGGCCACGTGAAAACTTTCGCACCGTGTAACTGGACGCTTATTTTTCTTTGGACGGATTTTTCTTTTTTATTAAAAAGTAAGTTCGCATTTGACCTCCATCTCATCTGATGGAAAGTGACAATGAGGTCGACGATAGAGTATGCACAACTATAGAGAGTATGGATTTTTTTTATTGACCATTTTTAGTTTTTCACCTTGCATTAGATTTTTTTAAATTGAAAACTAATTAAAAAGAAATATTGCATAAATTAGGTGTGTCAACCAAACAGCTTTTAAATATTGTCACTGTAGATGTAATTCAGTCATTGTCCCTAACCGGAACATGAACAAAGACTAATAAAGGTAGAATTATAAATGAACTAAAGAAATTTCATACCGTTGCATAGTAGCACAACTGTGCCAACATTAATGTGTTTTTATTTGTTGAATAGCAATCAGTGTCCTATTGATAAAGGGATACAAACTAATCTAAAATTGCACATTATTGCGTTACTTTGTCAATATTTACTAGTGAGTCATTTCATTACGTTGTAAAAGGTGATTTAGTTTCATTAGATATCGGCTAAGGTATGAGTCACTGCTTTCATTGAATGGACTGGCATTTTCTGAACACTCGGAGCCAATGTGAATCATTCCTTCATTAGTGTTGGATTATATAGAACGGTATGACAAAATACATAACAATACGAAAGCATTCTTTTTGTCAGAATTCAAATTTAGATACTATAGGTACTAACGAACTTGCACCACTGTAAATTATTGTCTTGAAACATTGTGGCATTTCAAGTTCCGAAGTAACCTTAAAAACTGGTATTTAATAGGGAAAATATAAAACAAAATAACTTTATAACGATAGAGAATATTGTTTTTAGTTACAGAATTTGAATAGTACAACAACTCTTTCTTTACATAAGCTCTTGATACATACTCAATCAAAAGATCTAAGTATTACAAGTTTTCGAAAATATTATATGTACAGTATTAGACGACAGCACATCAAGCTATAACACTTTGGTTCAAATATGACCTCCAGTGCAACGAAATTGATGTGCTGCTGTCTGTATATTTAAAGTATTTTTATTTGCAAACTTACTTTAAGATTTGGATTTATGGTATTATTTTTTTTATTTAGAGTTTTCACATTGTTTACATTTTTATACTGTGATCTTATTTTTTTTTGTTTTATTTTGATTATTAATAAATTTTGCTTTAAATAAATTGCAAATTACTGCATTCCTGAATAAAGTTATTATTATTATTATTTACTCGTTCAACAGGGAATTGAGCGCACTACGCGCTCCCATAGCCGAAATTGAACGTCACTTTGATGAAGGCAAGGAGATTGACGCATTGGACTTGCATTCTCTGGAGAACGCAACTGACATCTTTAATGAGGTAAGTCAACTTTGTTTATTTAGTGATAGACAGTTTTGATCAACAGCAGCGTAGTGAAGTGTGGAACATGATAGGTTATACAGAGTGTAAAGAAAATGTCCTATAATTTTCAACTGGTGACAAACAACTTTAGCACAAAAAATAAGTTACCCCTACGCTTCGTACGTTACTCAAACTAAAAAATTACAACATGTGACATGATTTTTGTTTCTGGGTTATCAATATCATTTTCTAATTGTCCTGTGTGTAAAACTTTGCACTTGTGGGCAGGGCAACGAAAGTTGACATTTGTGTACCATTACGGAGACGTCCAAATTCTCAGATTTCTCTCGAAGACATAAAATCAACAGTATCTTACAACCAAAATTCTGCAAATTGATGACAAAGAACCTAGAAATGTATAGATTTGCGACATTATGTAAATACCACTATGTAGCCTATGTAAATAGGCAGCAATGTAAATACCATTGTGACAGGTGCAGAAGCAAAGTTATAGCAGTTATAGTATATAAGCAGGGCTATGGCTACTATTTTCTACACTCGCTCTTCAATTAAACAGAAACTAATACCGTCAAACCAGAAACAGAACCATTTTGGAAATTTGTTACATAGTGGTGTTTGTTACTTAGTTAGACGAATCTTAAAAAAAAAAAAAATATATGATTTCTGGCTCACTCAGCCCCGTTTATAAATGATCACGCCTTTCTGTTACACCTGTTGTAGCAAACAAACTTCCTTGCCATATTATAAATATTAAAATAACTAATTAAACAAACAAGAACATTGCCTTCACACAATTAAATATAAACTCACATATTGTTAACGAAAATTGACATATGTATCGTTTGTATCATGTATTTTCCTGCGTATTGTTTTATATTAACAATGAGTTTACAATATCACATTGTAATTATGAACGACTTTCTCACTCGTGTCTCAACAATAATCACTTTACCGACCCCTAAACTGAAAACATACTATGCAACGTGAGATTACGTGAACGTGTGCGTCCGGACACGGCACGCGACTGGCGCGCACACATACAAGCCGCGCTGCTACGTTTGTATGGAGTTACCGTACTTGTCTTATTATACCATGCTAATAATTGTAACTTTTTATAAAAATAACCGACCTCGAAAGTTAGTCGAATTACATCTATTTGCCAAGTTTTATTGGAATTGGTTATCGGAAAGTGCGCGAAACCGGATTCATCCCCTAGTTTGCCACCCTTAGATGTGGAATATTTACTTCAAATTTAAATGGGACCACTACTGAGGTTACCCTCTTTTAACAAAAAAAGTATCATCAAGATCGGAGTTATCGTGTAACATATATACAAAAACAACATGCAAACAATACCTCCAAAAGTAACCAGAAATAGAGACGAAATGTCATTTAATTTGTTTGAAAACTATTCTGTCATATAATTTCGGGGACAACTGCGCTATGATTGGCCAGCCCGAATTCTAAACAATTGACGAGTGTCGTTAAGTGTTTCACTCAATTTAACTTGAGCTTTGCTATTATGGACGAAAATTGAAAAATGACATATTTAATTACCGATGAAATGTGATTCTGTTTGTTTGGTAATTAGATGTTTTGCTGGTTTTCCCACACCACCGAATGGAACAGCCTTCATTGTTACAGATATTATGTTTATTACAATAAATACAGATTATTTTTGAAATATTCGGAGACGTACACACACGTCAATTGTTGGCGGTGTACTATTTCAGCTTTCTGATTTGTGATTTCAGTGCAAACGGGAGTTGATATTTAAAAGTGATATAAGGCCCAATTTGGATGGATGGCCCCTATTTCGTCTCTATTTCTGGTTATATATACTCAATGCTAACCACCTTTCGCACCACTTGGTCGTTACGTCACGTGCTATCTTAAAAAAGTAATAAACCCTTGAACACCTGGCAATCTGAAAAATGCAACTAATTACGTACGTTTATGTAATAGAACACGTGTTGTAGCTCTTACATAGCTTAAGTATTATAATAACCTTTAAACAATAGATGTATTGAAACATTGGCACATGCTATTCCATTGTGTGGAGTGAACCTAAGTACATTCTATTGCTATGCACTAGACCCCATGCTAATGTTTTTACTAGCCGGTTCTCTTCTGTCATTTCAGTTATTCACCACCAACCCATGTACGTTCCACTCTCGCTTACCTCATCTAAGTAGAGTGTTTAGGCCTGAATGTACTATCGGCAAAGTCGACGCGTTACCATCATAAATGTTTTTTTTCTATGCAGGCAATGGTGGATAATATAATATACGTAGATAATATTTTTATTATATACATAAGGTTTAAAAAAAAAGTCAACTTATATAAGAGACGGGGACATGCAAAACTAAACTGTTTTGGAATTGGGTAGGTTTCAAGTTTGCTGATAAGTACGTAGCAGTAGAGCTGAAAGAGTTCGTCCAGTTAAGTACTGCCACTTTACCTCTTTCTGCTGCTAAACAGTAATGTCAGTATTGCTGCGTTCCGGTTTTGAAGGGTAAGCGCGAGATACTGCTGTTCTCGCATAGACATCCCGCGCTTTATGTCGCTCTCACGCAAGCCGCGCCCATTCGTGCTAGCCCTACTGAACAATGTGTATGATGTTGTATCATATTTGATATAAAAAAAATCTTGATCTTGTTGCTTTTGTAGGAGCTACGTTTTAGTTATCATGAAACTCCACCAATACTTTTACGGCTTGTTTATAATGAGGCATGCCGGAATAGACTGAATATATGTAAATACATATTTGGTAATTACCAAAAGTTCCTTTATACACATAGCGCGAATAATACCTCCCTCTAATGGAAAAACATCAGAACTAAATTATTAAGTTTTTATTTACAAATACGAAACTTCCCTTTTAAATACACTGCTGTAGTAAAGTAATTGCAAGACAAAATAGAATACAAGGGATTTGAGGACAGCACTCTCCACTCGATGTGTGTATACCTTCCTTGACATTCAGGTAAATACTTCCTTCAAGTCTGGTTAAATACGCCGACTCCGATCTTTAGTAATAACACGCAAATGGAATATTTGAATAACTAATTTTCCACGCAATTTCATGTTGTTAGTAGTACTATTGTAAATATTAACAAACTACACAGAAAATGGCTTATTGTTTTATGTTATCTAAGCTATCTGTGACCGCGGCTGGCGAGGACTGAGAGGCTAATGACACAAGTTTTCATGTTTTCAATTAGTCTAGAGTGTTGACCTTCCTATGAGATTTTTTGAAGGCTACTTTTTAAAACCATTTCATACTCCGCTTGAGTAACATCCTTAAAAAAAATATGATTTTCAGTAATTATCAAAAACATGCTGACATTGCGTATATATTCGGAGTCCCATGGCAATGACACACGAGGAGAAAGTACTTTAAATATTCTAGTTATCACGTTTTGCTTCATGGATATATTATTTTATTTTTAAAAGTATGTATTACTGCATTCAAAGACATTTACAAAATTCAAATCGTCCGACCAAATGTGTCATAAGAATTCTGCATTTATATGATTCCGATTGAAGTTGTGAGATAAAAAGATATAAGTAAGAAATATCGTATCAACATATTTTTCCCGGTCCTCCGATTGAGCATGTTACTAAATAAAAAACTTTAAAAAATTGAGGATTTTTCTGCAATATATTATAAACCCAAGCCGTGGTAAGCCCTGTATATGAATATAACCCGAGATAGAGATTCACCCTAGCAATACCTCAGTGAAATGTCAAATTGAAAATATGTGGCTCTGAAGATTTTGTCAAATGCTAATTACGACAACTGGTCATCAGAGGCAGAGTGACGATATAAAGCGAATGTCATGTTTATTGACCTCGACGTTTTTACTATGGATTTTTATTTTTCCCACCGTTTGGTAATTATTTACGAGCCGTCTGCGTCTATTTCCGTTTCCGTGCACACTTTAAAATTCTAGTTTTTGAACAGATATATCCTAGGTAAGGTATCTCCATCTTGCTTAACAGTTAACATAACCTAACCATCGCAACTAATTTGTGTTGATATGATCTTAAGTTACCGTTTATGTTCGTGTTGATTTTGTTGAAGATCGCTGAGAGCTTTTATTTAACTAAAGGTCGTACAGGCCCTTATTTCAGTTATGAACCTAAACTTGTGTGATTAAACTAGTCACATAATATTCAAGTTTATGTTAAAAGCAAGAACTTAAATTTTATGAACAACCTTCTTCGAAACATTAAAGGCCCACGCATACAAAAACAATAGTATCTGTAGATTCGTGTGACCTATAATGATACTAGTAGGGTTGTTGATCGCGAATTTTGGGTTTTGTAAACCGTCATTTTGACAACAATCTTAAAAATCGGATTGTTTACAGATCGTAAAATTAGCACGAAACTTGTGCGCAATATCATCAATAAGGTTTCAAGTATTTATAAAGGAATTTTCAATCAAATATTGAAGTGAACGGACACCTAGACGAGCGTGTACCAACCACATCTTCACTTTCCATTAGTAGAGATTGCGGATAAATGTGAGTCAACTTAAGTCAAGAAAAAATTGAATCTATGCCTTAGAGGACACCTGTGTCCATCGTTAGGACATATTCATACAGTACAATACCAAATCTGTGCTAGATTATAATATCGTCGGGGATAGTGCAATTACGCGTAACTAGCATTCGATTATGACTTTCAATTTCAATACTTTAGTAACCAAATCAAATCCACGTAAATGTCATGGCAACCACATTACTGTGATTTGGGACACATTACGGGGATCTGTTGTTATCAGTCCGTAGACAATATTAATTAATGCTTAGTGTGCAAAAACGAAAGTCGGAGCCATTAAAATAACAAAATAATAACATTGTATCCCTTTCCTATAAAATTTGGTTTAGTGCAATACTACATACGCGGATTTGCACTATCCCCCACGATATATCAAATATTTTTTAACTGTCTCTACTTTTACTGTGAATGAGACACAATTTATCTAG